GGGGGGGGGGGGGGGGGGGGGGGGGGGATCAGACACGCAAAAACTAAAGGGGGGAATTGGGTGATATGACAGTAGCGGGAAGAATGATGGGAAGCCGTGAGAGAAAGAAAACAACATTCCGACGAGGACGGCGACGTGCCACAGCAGTAGCACAGGGCAGCAGTAGAAGGCTAAGCCGCTGCCGGGTAACAGAGTCACAAAAAAAAAAGAGCAGCAGCCTTCGGAAGGAATTCAAGCTTGGTTTTAGTAAGGGGTACGGGGTGGGGTTAGGGATACGAAGGCCCCCTCTCTATTTCGTAGATTAACTCGAAGGCCTCCTCTATATTTCGTAGATTGCCTCTAAAACCCTCGCGAGATAGATGGTTCGTGCCCTCCCTCCCGCTCGCTGTATTGATTCCTCGGAACCACCAGACAGCACGCACGCCCCCCCCCCTCCCCCCCCCGGGTGTGTACACACCTCGCAGAGAGTGTCCATGTCCGTGCCGTGGTACACCCTCGGGCGGAGGTGCTTGTGCAGCTCGGAGCACAGCTGCAGCAGCATCCCGTAGAGCCCCGCCCGACCCTCCTCCACCTCGGCGGCCTCCTCCTCCCTCTGGAGGTCCAGCTCCCTCTTCGCTTCTTCCTCCTCTCCTTGGCCCTCCTCGTCCCCGCCGTCCCCCCCCTCCTCCTCCTGCTGGTTCCTCCGTCCTTCCTTGACTTGTTCCCCTCGTGGAGATGAAGTCCCCGTGGCCTCGTAGGTGCCGTTGCTGCTGGAGGCGGCGGTTTCTCGTTGTTGTTGGTTCTGAACCTGTTCTTGTTCCTCCTCGGGGCCCAGGCAGGCGTCGTAGAGCTGTGTCTCCAGCTGCCCAACCCGCACCAAGAACGCCGCCCCGAACCTTTGCAAACCCGTCGTCGTTGTCGTTGTCGTTGTCGTTGTCGTCGTTGTTATTGTTGTTCCGTCGAAGCACAGACACACGCACACACACGCACGCCACCAAACGTTTTATCGTTTCTGTTTCACTTCGAGAGAACGGGTTCGTTCTGGGAGCAAAACAAGAACACGAGAAACCAGGGGAGCAAAAGCCTAGCATAATAACACTCAGATCACACCCCGGCTCTTCACCAAGACATGGATGTAACTTCTTGGCATTTCCACGTTTTGAAGAGTTTGGACGTCCATGTCGCCGACGATGCTGAGAACAACGACACCCGTAGATCAACACAACAGAAGACTTTGGTAACGGACTTCATGTGGCCATCGCAAGGCAAGCGCACGCAAGACACACTGCTGGCCGGTCTGAATTCCGATCGTTTTCCATTCCGTCTCACAAGAACAAAATCGACCCGTTTTTCTCGCGTGTGGGACATTTGAGAACGCCGACCCATGATCTCCCCGCCACAACATAAAGAAGGAGGGCGCCACAACATGAAGGAGAGGGAGAGAGAGAGAGAGAGAGAGAGAGAGAGAGAGAGAGAGAGANNGAGAGAGAGAGAGAGAGAGAGAGAGAGAGAGAGAGAGAGAGAGACAGAGACAGAGAGACAGAACGACAAAGCCACACTCAAAATCAACACCAGCGGGAGAATCTCTACCACAACATACTGGTACAGCAAAAATACAACACCTACAAGGCTGCACGTCCACACCTTATCATGGCGGTGATTCCCCTCTGCTTCGACATCGCCTCGAGGTGAGAGCGGACAGCGGGCCGAAGCAGGGCCAGTCTCTGATAACCAATAACACGTACACAGGCACAGGCACACACACACAACGGGGACGGTCAGAAAACAAGCACACTCCAAAGACATGTACTCCAACACTTTAAACCCCGAACCTCGTGTGTTTACCGAGGCAGATCAATCCTAGTCATTGTTGGGAAACCGAGCTCTGATGCGGGCACGTTATACATACCGTGCAGCTACATATCAAACACGTTCACGAACGGGCGTGTTTGACCGACTCATTTTGGAGTGATGGACGAAGGACAGCTAACTCTGAAGAAAGCCCCAGATACAGCAATCTAGCAGCAGATACTGGAGCCTGCACCCTCACACGAGAAGTACGAACGCATCGCTGTCGCGCAGTGGCAGCACCTGCTTGTACGCATGGATGTAGCTTGAATAGGCCAAAGGGGTCTAAGCAGCCGGACACACGCCAGAGGATCTCCACTCATTGTCAACTACACGAACGTATGGTCAGAAAACAAACCTCTTGCCGAGTCGAAGATCTACACGAGCGTTTTCCGACAAAGCCACAGAAGAGCTTAGCAAACGTTGCCACCCAAGAGCTTTCCTTTCAGACGCCGATCACGTATGCATCTAGGCAACACCAAATATCTGTTGCCGTCATCGCCTGTCTTGTCTCCTTGCCTGCCCGGGACGAAACACCAAACACCTACTACAGCTGTCGCCCCGGTGGTCTAGTGGTATCTTCGTAATCCGCTAGTCGCAGAGGTCGTGAGTTCGAATCCCCACGGGGTGAAACATTTACGAAATGTGCGGGTGAAAGCGAAATATAGCTAAAAAGCTCTCGTGAGTACCAAACTTCGACGTTAGCACCGTTGACGAGGGAAAGGGACGGCTGGACCCTTCTCGCGATAAAAATAAAATTCAGCACGCACCGCAGGAGGAAGGTGGGGCATGAAAAGAAATAAAAAGAAGAAAAAAACCCTGGTGTTTACCCCCTCCTGTGTGACCCCGGATGGTTGTAGTTGTCCGAAAAAATACACTGAAAAGTTTAGTACTCTACGTACGCTGAAAAAGTGTAGTACACGTATCACCACGAACAATGGGGGACTGTCGCCATAATTAACAGGACGAAAACACACACACACACACACACACAGCCTGGAAGAGGCGATTCGTTCCCCCCCCAAAAAAAACTCTCGCTAACTGGCGAAACCCACCCTCAGACAACAAGTCTAAAGGGGCAAAACAAGCGCAAGGCAGGGAATTAATCACCGCGAACCCCAGGCAGGCAGGAAGGGAGCAGACGCAACCCCCCCCGGAAAAACAACTATGTTCGAACCCAATCGAGTACGACGACTTGGAGGCACAGGTTGGTCATCCGTGTACCCACGACGTATGCCCACCTTTTCGAAGTAGAGTTGCCTGAAGTCGGACAGAAGCGTCTTGACGAGGGGTGCCGCGGAGACGTACTTGCGCATCAGGGCCACCCCCGCGTTAACCTGGGTTTTGGTTATCGTGTGCTGTTTGTTTGTTTCGACTGATGTCGACGGCACACAAGCAGGAGACTGCTACATACTGGAAAACCATGGCGGTCGGTACTTGCCCCTTCTTGTTCCGAAAAACTAATGCCGGCAAGCTGCGCCGCCCCGTGTCGCGCTTCGGGCTAAACGGCAGCTCTACTAACTGAGTGATAACTCAATACGCTGCAACCCTTTCCAATCTCGCGATGCCCGCAGCCTTTGCTGGCATTCTGAGAAGAGTAATATCAAGTCCACGCTTTTTGGAGCTTGCAACGGAGCAACTTTTAGGCCCTTCTCTACATTGTCCCCGAGCATGACTACCTTGACACAAACACCTGCTGCGACACGCAAATGCGTACATAGTGTACTGCTGGCATTCTCACGTACACGGCACCAGCATTTTTCTAATCGCTCACCCGGTGAGAGACGCTCCTGAAGCGCGAGTAGATTTCCGAGGTCTCCAAGCGGCCTTCCACGACCGGTTTCTCTCCCGACAGCCTCGCCGCTTGTTCCAGGTACTCCACCACCTTTACCACGACGAAGACGACGACGATGACAACGACAACAGAGAGAGAGAGAGAGAGAGAGAGAGAGAGAGAGAGAGAGAGAGAGAGAGAGAGAGAG